AAAACACAAAGAACAAAATTAAATTATTTGCAATCCTACCCCTAGTGACATTTTAGTGTACCTTAAGGTCTTTTTCATGTGTATAATTATACACATAGGAAAATATGATTCTTTAAGTGGATAAGAAATAAAACATAGCACATTATCCAGAGGAGGGTTAAGTCTTTGAAGTTAGCATTTTTGCCTCTTTCCGCATTCCAGCATCTAATCCTGGTCCTGAGATGAAAGTGCCTCCCTGACATCACATGGCAAGGTTGGCAGTGATATTGCTGTTGTTCACTTGGTCCTTATCTGCCTACCCAGGATTTTAATATATAGAAAGATAAAAATGAAACAATAGCAGGTTCTTTTCTTCCTTTTGACAGAAAGAGGATTTGTTTTTGTATTGTTACCCAAAGGTAAAATTAGTCTTCACTAAGCAGGGAACAAGTGATCAAATGTGTGGGGAGGAAATTACTACGTAGGCCCTCCAGAAAAAAACTTATATGGCTCTTGCTTATGTAGCAAAATTTTAGAAAGATTTTCAGGATTCATTTTCATTGTGATGCGAATAGGATAAGATAGTTTCGTAAGCATAACTGTGGTTCTTTCAATAGTCTCTTCAAATATATAAACTGTTTGCTCCAAAAATAACCTGAAAAGAAAAATTCTCTACATTGCATTTAATGAAATGGCAGCAAAATACCTATAAAACACCCATATCCTGCTCTTAATGATATCTGGAATCTCTAATTCAAGAGAGAGGTAATTTATAATTCACAAAGGCACTTATATACACAGAGTTGATAATCCTGAGACATAATGCCTTTGAATAAATAGTTTTCAAGAGAAAGCCTTTAGAAAAAAAAATCCCTTGTTCCCCCCCCCCAAAGAAAATACTGAATTATCATACATGGCAGCAGCCATTGACTTTTTAAATAAAATTGAGAATTTTCAATCAAATCATGTTCCTGCTCAATTACATATTTGACTAACATCCTTCTGATAGTCTTAAAACCAACTAGATAGCCTTGAGGTACTTTATACATGCAGCTAGCTGGTCTTTCTATTGTAGTATCTTCCTTATAGATCCCCCATTAGTCCAGACAAGTAACATCTGAATTAACACCTTTGAATCAATCACCTTAAATCTTAGTGTTGGCCACTAAAATGAGGCTCTGCTAAGAGGACTTTGGACAACCTTTATACTTCTCGAAAGTATAGTCAGGTTTGGTGGACATGTCCTTTGGTCCTACTTGAAATTCTTCCTGTTGCCATGGGAAGAAATTATTTAGAATCAGAGACTGACTTGAGTTTAAATCCTAGCTCCATCACTGTGCTAGTTCTAAGTTGTTTAACCTCTCCATTTCTTCATCTACAAATTAGACATAGTGACTACCTCTTAGTGAGGTTGTAAAAAATTAAATGAGGAAACATGTTAAAGTGACTAGCACAGTACCTGACACATGGTGAACATGTAATAATGTTAGTTTTCCTCTTATTTTACTGATAAAATGCTGGACTAGACAATGGGTCTTGTCAAGTAAGCCACTTTTTATATTCTTTCTAACCATGCCTTTTCAGTTTTCCAATAGCACAAGGCAAAGCAGATGTTCTCCAGTCACCTGGATTTATTTAGTACACTTTCAGCAAGTTTTTACTGAACATCTATTATGTGCCAGAAGCTGTACAAGAGAGTACATAGTAACATAGCTAAGTAACACAGTACGTGCTTATCCCCCAAGGAGCTCATAGCCTAATGGAAAAGACTGATGGTTAAACCAGTAACAACAGGGTGCAATGGGAACAAAAGAGGATGGTATCTAAACATATGTTAGGCATCGAGGGACAAACTTTCAGGGGGAGCTGACACTTGAGCTGAGCATGGACTGCCAGGCAGAAGGAACAATATTTAGGCAGGGAGGCAAAAGAAAGCATGCTCTGTTCTAGGAACTGCAAATAGTTTTGAATAATGGAGAGAAGGATGTGTGTGAAGGTGTAACAGGGTGAAGCTGGAGAAAGAGGTAGGAGTCATGTTTTAAAGTATTTTCTGTGTCTTACTCAAGGGTCTGGACTTTAACCAGAAGGTTGTGAAGAACCACTGAAGGGTTTTAAGATGCAAAATACAATGTTCAATGTTTCATTTTAGAAATAAAGACTTTAGCAGCAGAGTAGAGGATATATTCAAGGAGATGAGGTTTGAGATGAGAAAGAAGGAAGGAAGAAAGGAAAGAAGAAAAACTGTTTAGGGCCTTAGTAGTAAGCTGAGTGGGGCATTATAGGAGCATGAATGAAGATAGTAAACATGATAGAAACAAGCAAATACAGGGTGTAAAGTACAGCATAGGGAATATAGTCAATAATATTGTAATAACTGTGTATGGTGTCAGGGGGATCACTTTGTGAATTATATAAATGTCTAACCACTATGCTGTACACCTGAAACTAATATAAAATATTAAATAAAATGCAACAGCATGTCAACTGAATTGAGAAAATAAAAAAGGAACAAGCAGATAGATAAGGGAGATCTTCAAGTGGAATAGAAATGATTTGATATAATCTATGGGAGGCAGTGGATGCACGTAAGGAAGGCGTCGAAGATGGTTCTCAGGATCCCGGCAGGGAAGACTGGGGTGGGGGGATGGTGCCATTCACTGATGTACTAGAAATGATGGAAGAGGGTGGGCTGGCGGGTCCAGGCAGCAGAAGAGATGAGTTTAGTGTTGGGCATATTGCATTCCATATGCCTGGGACGATGTCCAGTAAGGAGTTGGCGGTGAAGTCCAAGAAATCCGGGCAACAGAGCCAGCTGGAGAGGTTGATTTGACCATATGTGAGAGTGCTGTAAGTGGTGGTTTAATCCAACTGCTACTAGTTTTTCTTTTATTTCCAATGACTCACACATATTAGGTGATCAGTAAATATTTGTTGAATTGATATTACTGTGGCTACAGCTCTTACCCTTGGTCTCCTCTGTGCAAACTTTGAAAAAGAATGATTGATCTATCTAATTTTACTCAGCAGTAGGCAACTTTGGGCCAAGTGGTGCTGGCCTAAGTAATTTTTTAATTCACAAATGGCTTCTTGGTCACTCGAGGAGACTGATACAAAATTCGCTCTTACTTGATTGATTATCTTAGGTATTTTCCTAGTTATTAATCAGCCTTCTCAGTTGTGAAAAAATACATATTTGGGGAAGCCATGAAATTCCTCTCCCTGTGGATGGGTTTGGGTATGCTATTCACAGTGCTAGAGCTAGCATATAGCAATTTGAGAAAGCTTATTTATTACCAGCTGATCTTTTTTGGATAGTTCTAGAGCACCTTGTCTAACTCAAAAGAAATAATGAGAAAAGTGCCCTAGAAAGTACAGTGTGTTAATAACATTACAACAAATTCATTCCGGTGTCCCCCAGGCCCTAGCATATTATAGGTGCTCAGCTCATGTTGATTGAATTAAGTGAATCTATATAATACTTTAGAATTTACAAAGTGCTTTCATATACATTATTGTATTTGACCCTCAGAACCCTATGAGTCAAACCAAGTATTATTCTCATTTTTAAGTATGAGGAAATTCATATACCCTTAGCAAGAATATTTTATGTATCTCTGATACATCTGCAGACAGTTTCTGTTGTCATTTCTCAGTCCCATTTTTTTCATGCCCTAAGTAATACTCATAATCAGTCATTGAAAGACCTGCCTAATCTGAATTCCACTTGTACCACTTTGGGATGCTCTTGACTGTTTCAAGATGGCCTAGAAGAAAAGTTGGCCTGAAGTTCTTGAGTACGCTGCATCTTTTCTTGCCTTCATAGAGCACGGGTTTATATTCATCACAGTGGAGGCTTGTTTATAAGTGAAGGAGCAGCAGTGATTGTTTTTTTAATATCATCCATATAACATGATTTGAGTACTAAAATGTGCAAGCTGGTCCAAGCATATGTCATTTGCTCCAGGAACACCTTTTTGAAAGAGTCCCTTTCTGTTACTAAGTTCCTCGGTGGATGTAATATGGTAAATTGACCTTACCAAAATTTCAGGCCTAGGTGGCATATTTACAGCTTTCTGGTGGAGCTCTTGCAGATGTTACTTTGCATGACGTCTGGCTTCTGTTAGATTGTTCATTTTCCAAATGGCTCATCTTTTCTTCCTACTAGTGTGAGTCCCTTGTCTTCTTTTACCTATGGCACCTTTCTTTAAACTTTAGGAATAGATCCCTCTGCTGTGACGTTTTCTTCTCATCCATGTCCTCCTGGAAGTACTTATTTTAGGTCTGTTTTTCCTGTGATGTGAGGCACTTAGCCCAGGAAGGAACTCTGTTTCCAGAATTTATTTCCTTTAGGGGTTGAAGATGTTGTGTCATGCATCTGTGAAGAAATAGATCTCAGCTGCTGGGTCACTTTTATTCTGTTTACGAAGAAATGTTTCACTGTTTTTGATAATTATATTTAACTCATGGCAATGATTGGATTAAGTCTGTGCTGATGTGCTGGGCTTCTATATCCCTGCCAACCAAAGACTAGATTTTAGCTTCTCCATTAGGCGCTAGTAAGATGATACATATGGCTTAGGATATGAAACATCTTTCAACCTGATCAGGCTCCTCAATATGTTTTGATTGACTCATAGATCACGTTGTGCCCTGTGTATAGCGATGAGTTGGGTATTTAGGAATATGACAAAGTAACTCCTTTAAATATGAAGAGCATGTATTATACAGGAGAGACCATAGTAATGCAGAGTGCTTGCTTGGTACTGGGTGAGGGACATCGAAATTGCTTCTCGAATTAACAAAGTTCTAGAAATGCAACCAAAGTGAGGTTGGATCTGCTTAAGCTGATATATTTAGTAAACAACAGCTCTTCCCTTTGATCACCTTAGGGACTAAGATTCTTGGTTTATATTAGTACTAATATTTTTGAGGCCTCTTAAAAATCATTGATTCTCAGAATTCACTACATTCCCCATTTATTCCTAATCTTCTTGCTTCTGTATATGTTCATTTATTTGTAGAATGTAAATGGCATTCGCACTGAGGAGGTGGCTGCCGTGACAAAGGGGCCATCTACCAACCCCGACTCTGAATGGGAGGGCCCCACGCATTCATTAATGCCTAGTAAGAGCCAAATGACCACCCCGTCGGAGTCTCCGAAAAGCTTTGACTTGGGCTCCCTCTCCATAAGCAGCAAGCAGACAGAAGAGAAGGAGCCAGGGGCAGCTGGCTCTCTTGATACTAAGGAAATGCCCCGAGGCCCCAGTGGGGAATGTGTGGAAGCGGAGGAACAGGCCAGTGCCTTAAAGTCCTCAGTATCACCAGCTTCCTCTCAGCTGCAACTTGGTGAAAAAAAGGCAGAGAGTAGTGAAGAACACGTTACACCAGGAGAGCCCCTTGGAAAGCAAAATGGATCGTTTCTTGACTCTCGTGTGGGTAACCAGTTCCCCATCCTCATTCGAAGTTTCCAGGTAGTAACTGATTCGATGACGCAGGCCTAAATGACTCGCTTTGGGAGAAGGCAGATCTGTTCTGTGGAGGAGGTGGCAGTGGTGGTGGTAATGGTGAGGGCAGCAGCCTCTCTGCTTTTCTTCAAAAATCACAGAATAAAACTGAAGCCCTTGATTACTATAAAGAAATTTATTCAGAGTAATGAACTCCATGGCTTAGAAATGCTTTCTCCCCCGATGACTTAACAAGACTCTTGGGGGTAAACTCCAGCTGTTCATCTTTATGAAGCTGGTGTGTGTTCCTCTTTTCCTTGCTCGAGTAGGGGCTGTGTAAAGAGGTGAATTTATGAGGCTTCTGTGATGAGGAGCCTACAGTGTTCTGAGATCGTGCTCAAAAAATTCAAATACTCTTAATTAAAAGGGGCCACTGATTTCACTGTGCAGTTTCAGGCTCCAAATTACTTATGTAGCCACACAACCTAGCTCACTGACCCCACTCCCACTGACCCCACCACTCTCATGGGCTTCCATGATCATAGGCACTAATCTCCTATGCTATGGTGGATGGCCACTTAACTTGATCACAGTCAAATGGTAGTTTTAGGGTGATTTATAGTCTTGGGGAAGGTGAACTGATGGACAAGAAGCCTTTGATATTCTACTAATGTTCATTCTTCTGAAATTCTGAGATTAATCACCAGGTGGTGGTAGAACTGATTAATTTCTTTCCAGTTTTCAAATACTGTTTCTTCTCAGTAACTCCAAAGTGAATGTCTGACATTGATTTGAAAGAAGTTAATGAATGCCAGGGTAATGCATTTCCATGCCACTGCTGTTTCATGTACCGTTTGTACTTAGCGGAGGAAATGTGGCTGATTTTCTTAATGGTACAGTCACAAGGACAAACAAGCGACTGCTACTTGGCAAATAGTTTTATGTTCAAATTCTGAAGGTCAGTCCAAAGTTTTTTCTATCACCAATCATAATTGTCTGATCTTATAGCTTGCCATTAAGCATATGAAAGTGGTTACAGTAATGCTGTTCTTTAATATCCCTCATGATTTGACACCTTGTCCGAGCTGCTTTGGAACAGTGTCCAAGTCTTGGGCAGAGATTGAGCTAGGCCTTTGCTTAATTAGAGCTATCACTTTGATCAGATCAATGTCAGAAGATTAGCTCCCCACAGCCTTCAAAAGATTCCGGTAACTCTTTTTTTTTTTTTTTTACTGCTTCACAGCCTCCCCTGGTGAAGACTCAAACTGTCACCATCTCAGACACTGCCAATGCTGTGAAAAGTGAAATCCCAACCAAAGATGTCCCTATTGTCCACACTGAGACCAAGACCATCACTTACGAGGCTGCGCAGGTAGGACTCAGTTTGATGTTTCAGAGCCAAAGACTGGCGGAAACAACCTTCCTTCACAGGGTTTCTAATAATTTGCTGCCAATCATGCTAGGCTTTTCTGGCACCGTTCTCTTTAGAAGACATCACTGAGCTAAGGATGTTCCACATTACTTTATTAAAAGCAAAATTGTCTTGGATCTAATTGATTATGTCTACCCAATTCACTTAGGGAAGGCAGACCAGTGCAATGGTTAAGAGCATGGGCTTTGGGTTAAACAAACCTGAGTTCAGGTCCTGGCTTCTCCATTTATTAACTTCAGCAAGTAACTGAACATCTCTGAGCCTTGACGCCCCACCCCACCCCCCACCTCCACCCCAATGACATTAGTACCTGTATCTCGCTCATGATTTTGTTATGAAGATTATATAAGACATAGCACTGTATGGCATCGACTTGAGCACCATGCCGGAAATCATAGATAACAGCTATAAGAATCATAATCAATTTAATACAATGAAATTTAATTTAAAATCACATAAGAATTTAAATTTTTTGTTTACTTCCTACTTTTAATAAAATTTCTTCTTCATTATTGGAAATTTGAATGAGCTAGGGTTGCTTATGTTGAATTGTTTTTCTTTCCTTTTTTGTTTTTTTAATCCACGAAAGTCAAAGGTAAGAAAAACTTTTGCCTCTATAAACTGAGCTGTTAATTCATTGCTGCAACAAATATTTCTCGAGCATTCATATATTAGTCCAAAGCAGTATACAAGGTAGACAGGCCCTACCCTCTGGAACTTCCATTCTAATCAGAAGACAGGCAATAAAACACATAAATAAATGTAAAAATTTCAGGCAGTGATAAGTGCTATAAAGAAACTAAAATAAAGAGTTAGACAGTATGGGATTACATGGAAGGTTGCTACTTGGGATTAAAATAGTCAGGAAAATCCTCTCTGAAGAGGTAACGTTTTGGCCGAGGCCTGCAGGATGACGGGCTGGATAACTTGAAACAACTCGCTGATCTCTTTAAGCCTCTGGGGTCCTCAGCTGTAAAATGGGGATAACACTGCCTATCACTGCAAAATCTGGGGGAGGAGTAAGTGAAATGATATCTGAAATGATAAACACGCTTGGCGTATTCATAGATATTCGGTTAATGTTAGAAGGCTCCCCCCTTCTCTCTCTTGTGGTCTGGAGTGTGGAATTTGAGTTTGGTAAACAGCAAGAGGTTGCTTGAAGTTTTTTAATGATGCTGATAAAATGGCATCATTAAAGCAATGATTTTGGAAGATGATTCCTAAAGCTGTGTGCTGAATGTATTAAAGTAGAGGGATGCCTGGAGACAGGAATATGACTGGAGCAGGTCTGGGGAGATGCTTGTAAAGAAATGAAGTGTAGCCTGAGGAAATGAGGAGGAGGAGGCTGTGTCAAGAGAGAAATGAATGAATAGGACTTGGCAGTGAAAGGAACTGGAAAAGGAAGGAATAGGGAATTACTTGGAGATAGTGCACACCATTAGCCAGAGGGTGTAGGAAGGAATTACTCGCTTATGGGAGTGGGCCCGTTAGGTTGTTCCACTACCACAGAAACAACCTAAATGTCCATCAGTAGGGAACGGATGCAATAAATTATGGTGCATCCGATTAAGGTCATTCTATGCAGCTTTTAAAAAAACTTGTGATGGGAATAATCTGCGTGACAAATTGGGAAATGAAAAAGCCCAGTGCAATATGGTGTCGATACTATGCAGAAATAAGTACCTGACACATAATAAAGACCCGTAATCATTTGCTATTGTTATTATTTATTTATTTGCTATAGGTATTTCTACTTCTGTTTTTATCATCTTGCCACACAAGTAAGCCCAGGAACCTTCCCCCCCCACCCCCCTTCCATAAGTCCCACACTTTGGGAAACATGGAGGGAGGAAATGGGGAGCCAGAATAGGGTTTTACTGTTGGTATGTATGTGTGCGCATATGTATGCTTAAGCCCAAATTTACATACAGTGAAATGCATAGGTTTTCATTGATTTTGACAAATGTGTTTACCTGTATAACCAAGACACACGTGGCATACAGAACATTTCCATCACTCCTTTCTTTATTGCCTTTTCCAGTCAACCTAACCCCCTGGGCAGCCGCTGCTCTGATTTCTATCAGCATAGCTTAGTTTTGCCTGTTCTTGGACTTCATATAAATAGAAGTATACATTAGTACACCTTTGTGTCAAACATGTTTTTCAGATTTATCCATGTTATATGAATCCATAGTTCACTGCTTTTTATTGTCGAATAGTATTCCATTGTGTGAATATACCACAATTTGTTTATCCTTTCATTTGTTGATAGACATTAGAGTTTATTTCAGTGGGGCAAATATGAACAAAGCTGCTATAAACATTTATGTGCAAGTCTTTCTGTGGGCAGATGTTTTCACTTATCTTGGGTAAACACCTAAGAGTGGAATTGCTGAGTCACAGGATAAATGAATATTTAACTTTATAAGCAGCTGTCAAAGCTCCAGTGTCATTTTGAGGAAACATTGGTAAGAGGGTCAAAGAAAAGAAGGCTGATGTGGGAAGAGTGTAAGCTGGAATCATAACAGCATCTCTTCCATCTTCTACCTTCTTCAGAGACAGAAGGGAGGAGCGAGGGGGTGGATGGAAGGTAGAGAGAGACAGCGTCACAGGTTTAATAGAGAAGGAGCTCTTTAAAGAGGTTTAGCCCTCCTGGCACACAAATTTATATTCTTATAACCATTTATAAAGTACTTTTATTTCTATAATCTCTTTTGATCTTCAAAACAATGCTATGGTGGAGGCACAGAACATATTCCAGTATTGCCTGTTATAAATGACAAAACTGAAGCTCAGTGAAGTCAGAATAACTTGCCCAGTTATTTGAGCTGGGACCCAAACCCCAGTCTTCAGACAAGAGGTTTCTTGCCCTAAGTCCTAGTTCAAACACTTTTAACTATAGAACCTTGAGAAATTATCCAACCTTTCTGGACCTCAGTTTTCTTAACTGTACAGTGAGTATAATAATAAGACCTACTCGAGAGGATATAAAGTACAGCATAGGGAATATAGTCAATAATATTGTAATAACTATGTTTGGTGCCAGGTGGGTACTAGACTTATTGGGAGGATCACTCATAAATTATATAAATGTCTATCCACTGTGTTGTACACCTGAAGCTAATATAAAATAATACTGAATGTCAACTGTAATTGAAAAATAAAAAACATATAATCAAAAAATAATAACAATGGGACCTCCTTCAGATACTGAGAAGTATAATTGAGATGACGGTTGCATTATGTGCTTAGACGTAGTAGGCGTACAACAAATATTAGTTAAATCTGAATCTAAGGTAGATAAATGGGTCTGGGCTGAAGAAAGTGTCAGTGAAGTAGCCAATAATATATACCTGGCATGATGGTGGCATGTGTGTAAGACTTAGGTGACACGGCCATGTTCCCTCTCTTTGTTTTGTCCACATTCCTAGCTGGAAGGGAACCCAGCTAGGGACTCTTCTTCCTAATTCTCTTCTCCTTCTTTCACCCTCCCAACACCCTCCCCCCCGCCCCAATATTCTCAAAATTCTGCCTTAATGAAATGTGGTCCTACCCGTAAAAAGAGTTGGCGGCCTCTGCTTGTAAAAACAAATGACTTATATAAAGAGGCAGAGAAAGATAGTAACCTAACACATTTATTGCTGCAGGATTCTTTATAAAAATAATTGCAATTCTCTAAATCCCCCTCTGAGATAGTGTACAATCCCAGTACCCTGTATTTTAGGTCATTATTCTCTGAAAAATCATGTCGCCAGCCTCCGTCCTATTCTCCTTTATTTCCATCTTGGTTATGGGGTTATCAGCAGCTCTGAGGCTAACAGCCCAAATGATGACCAATAACTGTTCATCGGGCTGAGTTTGGCCCCTGTCAATCATCTCTCTTCCTTTTTGCCAATGTCATTTCTCAGCCTGGTCCTAGTGTGTTTATTTTGGTCATCAGATGGTGAGCTCCAGAGAGACGAGAAACGGCCACAGCCCTTGTTCTGTATATGGATTAGTTGTGTAGCTTGGCATTTAACATATTTTAAACCCCTCTTATGATAAGGAGGGTCCATTTCAATAACAGTTTTGTTGTCAGAAATGTCATTGAGATATTATGTGTATTTCCTTCCACTCTGCCTTAAAGGGACATTTCCTACCTTACTTGCTCCAGTCTCCCGTCTCCATCTTCAAAGAAGATAGTCTGAGATTCCTTGGTCCCTTAAGCCCCAGCAAGAACCTTTCCTGATCCTTTCTGGAAAATTCACCCTATGATTCAGAACCTACCCATGCCTTAGCAACCAAGAGTTTATACCTTTCCTGCCTTGGCCAGTGTGTAAAAAGCACCAGATCTGTAGAGAGGACAATTGCCACTGATTAGCTTTAAGTCATTGGGCAAATCATCCACCTTCTCTGAGCCTGAGTTTTCTTACCTGAGAGTGCTAATAAATCTCCGCCCTTTCTGTTTATTTTGCAAGGCTGTGTGAGCTTCAGAACAGATAATGCTACAAAGCCATTTGTGAACTATAAAATGCCATACACATGTGCATAGTTACTGTCACTCTTGTTGAACCTGTGGCTGCACTCTGCTGCCTTTTTCTGATCCACTCCTGTCACTGACCCAATGCCAAGGGCAACTGGGCCCATTCAACTGTTTTAGAAGGAGCCTTGTTGCCAGGCTATTTGTTTTATGTATTCATTAAGATATCACTGTAAGGGAACCAGGTTTTTGCTTTAGAATGTACAGCTGAAGAGCAAAGCTGCATCCTGCAACGTTTGCCTTTCTGCGATGCCTGATCATAGGTTGTGTTTACTTCCCTTCTGTAGACTGAGGACAGCAATGGGGACTTGGACCCAGGAGTCTTGCTGACAGCTCAGACCATCACCTCTGAGACCACCAGCAGCACCACCACAACTCAGATTACCAAGGTAACAGACCGGCCAGAGCTTCCTTCTGGAACCCAATGGCATGTCAAGCTTGCTGTCTCTGTGCAGGAAAGACCCGAGTCCATAAACAAGGGTTTTCTGCTTCATCCCTATTGAGCCAAGTTATTCCAGGTGTCGCAGGCAGAACGGCCCTGCTGCTCTCCCCGGCCATGAGCCTAGGGAGACCCCGAGAGCATCCCTTCCTACTTAGTCGTCTCATAAAGTCACACGTGGTTATTCTCTTCACACATCCATCGGTCTCTCTGGTCAGTGAGTCCCCTATCTGGCTGTGGAGATAAGTTTAAAAAGTCAGTTTAAGGGCAGGCGTTGTTGGCATTAATTACACAACCGTATTTTCCAAGCCAAAAATCAGAACTTGGGGACCAACAAAGAATTTTTATGTGATGTTCAGGATCAAGGCCATGGGAACTATCCTTTAGATGCTGGAATATTGGAATTATTAGAATATTGTTTATGGGGCCAGGGGGACAATGTATTAGAACTGCTCCCAGAAAATCAAGGATAATCCACGTTTGCTGTCGCACTAGAGGAAAATGCACTTTTTATCAGTCAGAAATCTGGATTTCTCACCAAGCTCTAGCATCAACACACAGATGCCCGGAAGCCAGTTACTTAATGTGTCTAGACCTTGGTTTTCTTCATGTGTCAAGTAGGGAAACCTACCCACCCTGAGGGGATTGTTTGAGGATCTCTTCTTGGCATCAGTAATATGAAAATGCTTTAAAATAAAGAGCCCAGTGTGAAGCTGTGTGACATTTTTGTTGAGCCTTCTGATGGTTTTTTTTTTTCTCTTGAAAATAATCAAATAAAATATACAGGAAAAAACAAAGCAGCTATCTGGTTTTTTCCTCCCAAACACCACTGAATCTCACTAGTATTTGGGAGAAAGAAAAAGGGAAAAGTAAATAAGTAGAGAATTGTGACTTCCTGTTTAACTTATTAGAGATTTTAGCAATCCAAGGGGTTGGAGGTAAGCTCATTTAGTAGGTCCAGCCAAGATTTTGGACACATGGGTAAAAAAAGTATCCTATGTAATACCCAGCAGCAGATTAAAATTTGGGAGGGGAGCTTTCAGAATAATCTCTTGCTGTTTCTTTTCTTCCTTTCTCATATGACCGCCTGCCTCCCTTTGGTTTCAGACTGTAAAAGGTGGGATTTCAGAGACCCGGATTGAAAAGAGAATTGTGATCACAGGAGATGCTGACATTGACCATGATCAGGTGCGAATGCTGAGGAGATCCTGGGCGTGGTGGTGGTGGTGGGGGGTGGGGGGGCACGATTGTCCCTGGACGGGAAGACTTATGGATGCAAAAGACCCCTCTGCCAGCTTCACCTCCAGAGAGCCCGCTCGGCTACCCCAACTCTTAAGAAGAAGGACAGAGGGAATCAGACCCTGGAGACCTGTGGGATTGGGGCTGCTGACTGGAGAAGCAAGGACATGTAATAGAAAGAACATGGACTTTAGACTCAAAACACCCGAGTTCACATCCTAGGTTTCACCATGTTCTAGCTCTTAACTCCCTGAGCGTCCGTTTCCTCATCTATAAGATGGGAATTTCTGCAACAATCCTCTCAGGATTGTTGCGAGAATCGAGTGAGATACGGATGTACGGTGTGTGGCACATGGTAGGCTCTAAGTAAACGGAGCTGCTGCTGTTCAGGGGATGTTGTGGACCTGAACCTGTGCTGGAGACAGTAGATGGTATCAAAACAAAAGGAAGGTGTGATCTCCTCCCCAGCGCTGTCATTGCTGAGGAGACAGGCTTGACTTGATTTCTGCCCTAGGTCTAGCACTAACTTACCGTGTGACCTTGGACAAATCACTCTACCTCTGATTTTTTTTCCCTCTCCTAAAAGAGAGTAGGTTGATCTAGATAATTTCTGGGCCCTTCTGAGTGCTAAAATTCTATGAGTTTATGTTAATTAGGTGCTAATTGTGTGCTACAAGCAATTAGCAAATAATAAGGTCAGGATTAATGTTCCTGGTTCTCTGCCTTCTCTGCTGGGCGGGCGGGTGAGGTTAGAGCAGTAAAACTGCAGAACAGAGGGGGTGGAAGACACTGCATGCAAATGCTTCTGGAATCACTGACAGGAGCGCTGGAGCAATAGTTTTGTGGCCTTTATGCTGATATGCTGAGTGCCTTAAAAAAAAAGAAGAAAAGAAAAAGGAAAACTGAGCTGCAGTGCTGGCAGTTCCCTTGGTAGCAGGGCTGATCCTTACAGCTGAGAACGCTGGGCTCTGGGACCCAGCAACAAGGCTGCAAAGCCCAAGTGGGAGGCCTTGCAGCCTGCGTGCCCCCGCTCCATGGAGCCTGCTGCAACCAGCCCGCACCCCCCTCCTCAGCTGGGTGTGATTTGAGCCCCTGCTCTGTGCTCAGTCTGTGCTGAGTAGCAGGATGGGGAGGTGTTTGGGATTTGGAGGGAGACAGACCTGGGTTGACTCTTGACCCCACAACGTATTGTTTGTATGCCCTTGAGCAAGTTATTTTACTTCTCTCAGAGGTAGTTTCACCATCCTTAAAAGAAAGAGAATCATAGGTTCCTTCCAGGGTTGTTGTGACAAAGGGACCAGCACACTTGATAGCTGAGAGATGCTTCAGTGTCCCTCAGTTCTCCTAGGCACTAAGGGATCCGTGGAAGGGATAGGATATGGTACACTCGGGGCAGGGGTGGGGGCGGGGAGGGGGAGGCATGTTGAGGAGGACTGTTCAGGAGAAGTAGTGTGACGCAGTCTTCCATAGAGAGATGGGTGAGGGCCAGAGTAACCAAGGAGAGGGCTTGGGCTGGGCCTTGAAGCATGCGCAGGGGAGGGAGGCTAGAAGGGTCAGAGAGGGTGAGCAGACTTACAGAGGTTGTAGTGCCAAGAATGGCTTTCATGGACCAAGAAACCAAAAGAGGGATTTCCCTTCTCCTGTCCCTCCATGTCCCTCCTAGGGATAGTTCTTCAGAGCCAGGGTCAACAATCAGCTGGTCAGGTCTAGCTGGAGTCCTTTTAGATGGGGGGGCCTGTCCCTGCAACTCCCCATGCCACCAGCCTCCAAAGGCTGTGTTGGGCTCTTCTTCCTCGGGGTGCTCTGGGCTAGAGGCTCAGAGACTTGCAGCCCAAGGAGAGTAGTGGCATCATTGCTTGTCTCTCCCTCTACTCCCTCTAGCTTTTCTAAAATGATCAAAACTCCTCCACATGCTAAAATAGGGTCCCCCCCAAATGAAAAACCAGAAGACAGTATGGTAAAGAGGAAAGTCTGATGGACTTAAGTTAAAACTCCTGTTACATTACTTACAAAATATGAAACGTTAAGCACTTTATTAACCACTGAACCTCAGTTTCCTCGTCTATAAAATGGAAATAACGATACTTCCCTCATTCTTTGGGCTGTTGTGAAGGTCAAGGATATAATAATAATGTAGTTAGGCCAGTGCATGACATGTAATAGAGCCTCTCTCCCTCCCTCCTTTCCTTTCTTCTCCCTACTTCAGCCAAAGACATCTCTTCCTTTTTGTAGTATGCTTCTTTATTTTCCTTCCTTGTACTGAACTTCCTCGTTATCCTATGTTGAACACAGATTTTGCTTTGTCCTTTAGACTCACTTCTCAGTAAATCCTCCCAGACCCACCCAGGCAGCTGCAGCCATTACCCCTGAAGTCCCTCTCTGATTCCTTGAAGGCAGCTCTAACCTTCCCTGTCTCCGTGTTTTCAGTCCAGGAGCCTCCCTACTCAGGATAGAGTGGATCAGGTCATTATCAGCTTGGCTTGGCCTAAACGCTGCCCTGGTGCTGCAGACAGGATTGGTTTCCCAGAGAAAGGCTCTCCCGTGACCCCTGCCTGCCTTCATCAGCCAGCTGCTTTCTGCCTGATGGGTGTCCTTTCTGTCTTTCACAGGTCCTCGTACAGGCCATCAAGGAGGCAAAGGAGCAACACCCAGACATGTCAGTGACCAAGGTGGTCGTCCACCAGGAGACTGAAATCTCTGAGGAATGAACTCAGGTAGGGGCTATTCTTTCTGGGGCGGAGGGTGCTCACTTTCCCAGCCTCAGAGAGCATTGGACGGAGCCCCAGCCACTCCAGAGCCATCCCCCACAACAGTGCCCACCCTGAGGCTTGGTACCGCGAAGTCAGGAGAGGCTGATGAGGGCGGCAGAGGGGGGTTATTAAATATTTGGCTCCCACTAAAGCTCCTGGATCTCTCTGTGTCCTCCTGCCCTTAGCAGTATCAGCAGCAATGGGTTGGAGGAGATACCACAAACATGGATATAAACCCCCATGCACCTCCTAAATCTTCAGGCAACCCCCTGCTTCTCCACCTCGCCCTTCCCCTCTTCTCTCTGCTGTCCCAGAGGAGGGCCAGAGAAGGAGAAGAAAACCAAGAAAAGGAGGACCAGGCTGTCTGGAAATGGGGCGGTTGGAGGACCGGCAAGAAATGGCTCAAGTTCCATAACCAAACTAGAGAGTTGGAAGCAGGGGAGCTGCTTTTTGGGAGACAGGGATCCAGATAAATTTGTGCCTAAAAGTAGTTTACAGATGACTTGAAGAAACCATCTGTCATCGGGCAGGACTGGGTCCTGTAAAACTGCCCAGGCCTTGATTGTCATTTGTAGCACAAGCACTTGGCAATGGGACTGGATGAGAGTCTCCTTTGCAGGATTTAAAAACTTTGCTTCTCTCTCCTCTAGGAACTGTTTACCCCCGACTCCCTGCCCGTCTCCCATCCAAGAGAAAACCAGCAAAATGATAAAGAAGCTAACCTGCAATAATCAGACTTCAGACTTTCAAGATTATTCTAACCACCAGAAAATTGATTTCATTTTCTATTTGGAATTTATACCAACAGAGTCTTCTAGATGTCACTGATCCTTTGGAATACCTTTTTCTATATTGTGATACCAGAAATTGTTCAACTTTTCACTCTACGGACTGTTTTTAAAGAGCTTTTTGGTTTTTTTAATGGGGTGACTTGTAACCCCTTCAGCCTGTCCTCTCCCCATTTATTTCCAACCCAGGTACTGACAGCGTCCACAGAATTCTTCGGGAAACCCTCCAGACGCTGTCAGCTGTGTTGGGGGCCAAAGCAAGCTTACTGGGGCTGCCCTGCTCCCCGCCTAGTTTCATACCCTTTGGATGATAGCAGAAACTTCACTAGCCAGCCCTCCCTCAGAACCAATGACATGACTTTCCCAGAATGTCAGGCAGGGTGGCTGCCCTGATCCACAGGCCCCAGGAAAATGTCCCTGTCCTTCTATGGAGGGTGGTTTGGGTGAGGCGGAGACCTCTGCTAAGAACGTAGTGTTGCTTTTCCTCCCTCCCTCCTGCTCTTTCTTTTTGGAGCTTCTTTAGATCAAAGACATCAGAAGTTGCTTCAGATATATCTGATACTGTGAATGTTGGAACAGATCCGTGGCCTTCACCTCCCCACCCTCCCTCCCTTTTACCTCGTCAGAAGCAGCGGCTCTGCTAAGTGCTCACCCCACCACCCGTCTCAGGAGACCAAAACTCACGGAGACATAGGCACTTTTGGCCAAAGCACTAATGGCACATGTTTAGTGGTGATTTGGGCAAAGAAAGCGAATGAGGTTTTTGAAAGGTTTTCTAGTTCTGGGAATGTGCACTTCACATGGGAACGGTGGGGTTTACCTCAGTCAGATCTTGCTCAGAAGTCCTTCCAGGTGACTGTCGCTGGGCCTCTTCTTTAATCCTGGACGGTAGGGAATGTGACTCGGAGAGGAGGGTGTGTACCGTGACCTGTCTTCTCCCCACCAGCACCCACCTGCCAACAAGGGAATTGGCTTTTAGGGGCCATCCTCCCCACAAGACCCCCACGTGCCAAGGGGTACAGCACCAGCTCTGCTCATTCCCACTCACCATCTGAGTCCGTCAGGTTTTGTAGGCTTGGATTTAATGGTGAGTTTGGCTTTAATTTTTTTGTGTGTTGTTTGGGTTTTGAGAATGAGGACTGGTGTCCCCAATTCTACCATCCCTCGTACAGATTTGGGGGCATTTTTATTCAGTAGGGCTTCTCTAATGTTCCAGTTTGCTTCCCACAAACAGATCTGCCTGCAAGTTCTTAGAACCCTGATTCTAGGACAGAAATGAATTCATGAGGCAGACAGTGGGTCAGAGTCCGCAGTCCCAGGGGGCGTGAGGGCAGCGAGCAGAAGAGAAGCCTCACGCCTCTGCCGTCCACGATGGGAGCCAGTGGCACGTGTCCACAGTGTCTACTGGCTGAATTCTGTTTAGACAAACTCAGTTGGTTTGAACTGATTTCATATGTGTGCATTTTTCTTTTAGTAGTTACGTGAGATTGTTATTAACCAACAGGCAGCTTCTCTGGGAAAGGACAGGAAGAGCTCAGGTGGGATGTGTGACAGGCTTGAGGAGATTGTCCTATCTCAGGAACAGACTTAAAGCCTGTGGCATGGCGTCTGAAATGATGGGGTTTATGTGGGTGGTGCCCAAGCCTGGGCTGTGTTGCCAGGAGTGGTGGTGAGGTTAGAAGTCCAGCTCACATCAAATGAGCATGTAACATGAACTCCCTTGCCAGTGGCCTGCTGGCCTGCTGAAAGCTACTGTGGCTCCCAAAGCTGAAACCTGTGGAATGAGGAGGATGGGGGAAAGCAACAGGGCACCGTGCTTTAGAAATCCGGCAGACTGCATGTTCTGTGCCGTGCAGAGCAGTGTGGCAGCTTTCAGAGCACAGGACCATGCATTGGGGCCGAACCTTTCCCTCAGCTCCATGACCAACTCATTACACGTCTCCTCTCTGCTTCCTTGTCTATAAATTGGACCAGAAGATCTATAACGCCCTTCCAGCGCCGAGAAGCCATGATTTGGACAAGCTAGCAACGAGGGGTGTCCTTCCAAGCCTCTCCCCCTTTCCTTCCTCTCTGGTAACAGATCTTGGGGTTTGGCAATAGTTTGGATTTTTTTCTTCCTGCAATTGTGTGTGTGTGAGAGAGAGAAGAAAAACAGACTCTGTCCAGGTGGACATGCAGAGGGGACTTGGCAGCAGTTTTCTTAAAGTGACTCAGACACACCACAGTAATAACTCTCACTGCGATTTTATTTTTATTTCACTTGAGAAATAAAGACTTCCTCCAAGCCACATGAGGTCTCTGCCACCCACCCACCCACCCACC